ACCCAAATTTGGCCTACACACCCGCCGACTCAAGACGCCAGCGAGATACAAGTAGTGCAAACGCTTTAGTAGCGTCTATATATCAATACACCAAAAAATTCCACGATAATAGCTTTTGTGGGTGGCTCAATAACCTCATCTTTTTGATCGTCCGATCTTGGTGGGGTGGCTCGTTACGCGACCTGGCTCGTCACGCGGCCATTTAGTGTATTCCCTAAACAAGGGTCCACGGCCAAGCACACGCCGGCTATTCCCGCCCTGCGAGTCTATCTCTACCACAACACATTGCAATAGACGAGCCTGGCAACTGCCATTCTAGTCTCGTCGTACAGACATCGATACTACGTTAAGCTTCCCTGGGTGTAGCTACACTGTATACCACATTCACGCATAGATTAGCAGCCAATGACGTAGCCGATGCAACTCACATGTGCACGGAGAGCAACATCTAGGAAGAGGCAATGAGCCTCAAGTTCGGCACCAAGCAGCGCTGTGACGTCTCATTGGCGCGTCACTCAGCACTCTGTAGAATTTGGTTGCTACGATGGAATATGTGGGTCAGTACTGCAGGCTATCCGATGCAGTGTATATGGTCTCCTCACGCACCCTGGGATGATCTGAACTAGGACTTGACTCCGTCTCAGCTCGCCAACCGAATGTCCCAAGGCTTGAAGTTGTCCACACAGGTTGTAGCTGGTAGATTTTGGAAAGGTCGAGTTTGCCATAGGTGGACAGACAGTACCATGGATCGATAGTGGACGGAGAATTCAACGTTGAACAGAACCGTAATTTACACATTGCTGCCTATGGGACATCGACGACGAACAAAAACAACGGAAAGAAAAGCTCAACGTACAACTCATAATCGGTGACATGATACGCATCCTCGTCTCTCCCTCCACCATTCAGAATCCTATTACTGCAATAGAAGATGAGCGTCCACAACTCCGAACAAGCCAGTAAGCTTTACCAAATCCACTGCTTTCATGAACATGGACTGAAATCGATGATAGTTGGCCAAGTCCAGTCCTCGGTCGATGAGAAGTCGCACACCAGAATGTCAATTTCATCCACCGAAATCAAGTCCGAGAATAACGGTGATCTTGTAACCCGGACACAGCAATGCAGGATACTTGCTTCAACATGCCTCATGGCTTTTACGATAATAGGCCTTAACCAGTCTTTTGGTGTTTTCCAGGCACACTACGGACGGCAAGCGTCTGCCCTAGAGGGTGTCCTTCTTCAAGGCGAGCTGTCGCAACGCCCGTTGATCTCTGCCGTAGGCTCATTGGGAAATGGTGGGCTCGTCGCCGCCTTTGGGCTGTTTTACTATCCACACCTACCTAGGTTGGGAGGTCACGTCAAATATTTGTGTGGACTAGGCACTGCCTTCATCACGATTGGCTTCGCGGCTGCTGCAGGAAGCCATAATGTAAGTAAAGTTCTCCAAGTCCCAGCGCCACAACTGCTTACAACGATACAGCTGGCAACGCTTGTCGCCTGCCAAGGATTCCTGGTTGGCATCGGAGCTGGCATCCTTAATTACGTTCTTGCGCCTATTTTACCCGAGTATTTCCCACAACGGAGCGGACTTGCACAGGGTGCCATGTTCGCTTGTGGCGGTCTAGGGGGTATGGTATGGGCGTTTGTACTAACGGCATTACTCGAAAGCATTGGAATCCGGTGGACGTTGGGGCTCCTCTCTATATTGAGCTTTGCAATCCTGTCCATCTCAAGTGCGCTCGCCCTTCCGCCGCGAAAATTCGAAAGGCGGTCTACGGAGATTGTCAGTTGGAAGGTCTTCCGAGATCCTCTTTTTGCTTCTCTCGCAATCGTGAACTTGATCATGGCGTTGACGCTGGCCATCCCTACGGCATTCGGACCTGAGTTTGCCCAGTCTATAGGGGCCAGCATCACCCACGGATCATATCTCTTGGCCATCAACTCGGGGATTGGAATTCCGGGGAGAATATGTACCGGCTGGCTCTCAGACAAGATTGGTCATTTGAATATGCTCATAGTTGCAACCGCCGTATACGCCATTGCAACCTAGGCGCTGTTCTTGTCATCCGCAATAACCAGCGATCTGGGACCATACGTTGGTATGACTGTTTGCTATGGACTGAGCAGCGGCGTCTTCAACACCGTCATGAACTCTGCGCAGAAGATGCTGTTTGGGGCCGAAATGTATTATCCCAAAAGCGGCGCGACCATTACCATACGCGGGATCGGCTTCGTTATTGGCACACCTATTGCCGGTGGACTGGTGTCCAGGATCGCTGGTGAAGACTTGGTGGGGAGAGACTTTTTAAAACTTATCGTTTATACCGGCGCGTTGTTGACGCTTTCGCTGTTATGCCTTCTGAATGTTCGAAGGTTGGATGCGCAGGGGAATGGGTGGAAGCTAGTCCGCTGATCTGAGAGTTTGAGTATTGGGTGCGACTTGGGGGACAAATCGCTACCTACGTCTGCGTTGAAAAGTCTGTTCCAGTTGCCTGATAAGGTCAGCTCGTGCTTGTTCGTACTGTCTTGCTCTTGCCATGATGGAGTAGATTAGAATCTGATGTTCGAAAAGACAGGTACATGTGCTTTCCCCACTTTATCTCCCTTCAACTCCCACGTCCCACGTCCCACTCCACTCCGCCGCGGGCATGTGGACACCAGGGACCCGGATATCCACAACTTCTTCTGTTGCTACGCAGCATTGATTCGGACCAGGAATATGGATACGTGTGCTCTGCCACGTCGCAACACTCGGTGCAGATACTGATCCGGCGCGTATACATGCTAGCCAGGAGATGCATGTGTGGATCGCACCACGGGCGGACACTTGCATCGAGGCGGGTGCCCTGCATGTCGGCATCTCTTGCGATGTCGTCAAAATGTAGAAGTGGTAACGGCGACAGGAGAGCCTTGGGGAAATTGGTGTGGCTGGTGCTGAGTGACGAGAATGTGACGGATGCATGGTGATAGGGTTTAGCGAGTTAGCGAGCTCTTTTACTCCGCCTGTTCCTGGCGCTGTAGATCGTCGCTTCCTTGCGTGTCGTGACCGCCCAAACAAATGCCCCGTTGAGCCAATTCACCCTCAGATGCGCGTCGCCCGTCTGATGCACGACCGCTCAAGCTGCAGGCCCTTTGCTCCTTCACCCTCACCACTCAGGGACACGTAGTCCCCCGCTCAATCGCTCTCTCACGTTCTTTTTGGATAGCTGCCGGGCCACTCCCCCGTAGTCGCAGTAGTTGCGTGCCAAAGATTCCCTCACCAACCACGCGATATTCCTTTCACCCCGTCCCATCGTGCAGGCGCGCCTAGTGCCATGACGTCTTTCTGAGATGTCTGCTAGCCATCGCAAACCTCCTCTACCACTGACCTGGAGGCCGCGATGTCGCTTACGCCCTCCAATCCCCGGATGATGAGCCCAGCCATCGGCTCCGGCATCAAGCTCAATCCCTCTCCATCCCCATTCTTCAAGACCACCCCGCGCTCGCCCGTCAAGGCTGGACGTGCCGAAGCCAGTCTTGCATTGCGCCAAGTTATTGGGACCACGACAAACTCGGCCAATGCCTTCGACAGCCTGCCGTCGGGGAGCAGCTTTGGTTACACGGCGGGTGCTGCCGCTGTCATTGCGTGCATAGATGCCCAAGGGCAGGTCACCCAGCGTTTCTACCGCGCACGACCTACTACGAATCCCATCAATCCCTCGGCATCCATATACGGCGGGCCCTCGACGCCCACTCAGAACGAGAGCCGCAACCGCACTGCTGTCTCCCTGCGCGACGCTGGCTTCGGAGGCTCCCCTCTCCCATCCCCTAGTGCCCACGACTGGGCAGATTCTCCGAGCAACAGAGCCTGGGGTACCAAAGACAAGATCAAGGCCGCAACCTGTGTCAGCTTCAGCCCTGATGGCAAATTCTTTGCTGTCGGAGAGGTGAGACACACATTCAGTTCACGCTGTATGATTCTAACACAATCTAGACGGGTTACAAACCGCGCGTACTCATCTTCTCTGCCTCGTCAGATGCCGCCTCAGACACCCCACTCACCTCCCTCTCGGACCACACTTTCGGCGTCAACTGCGTAGCCTTCAGTCCCGATTCTCGCTTCCTTGCTAGCTTGGGCTCCGCCAACGATGGCTTTTTGTACATATGGCACATCAACTCCCGCACCGGAGCTGCTACGCTACATGCTAGCAACAAATGCGTCAGCCATATCAACCGAATGGCGTGGATGGGAAACAAGCTGGTGACTGTCGGTGTCCGACATGTCAAAGTCTGGAAGGTAGACGACCTCAATGCGACAATGCGCATCTCCAAGGCGCGTCAAAGCGATGTCTCGTTTCTCTCCGGCTCCACACACAAAACGCTACCAGGAAGGAATTGCATTCTAGAGAGCTTGAAAGAGTCGACATTCACAAGTGTGGTCGCCATAGCCCGAAACAAGGCCGTCGTAGCTTCTGACAAAGGGGATATATGTCTTATTGACGATACCGAATCCAATCATCGCTTCTCGAGATTGGCTGACGCCGGCTTTGCTGTAAGCTCTTTAGCTGTCGACGTTAAAGGGCGACTCCACGTTGCTGGTAGTCAAGGAGCACTCAAGACTTTCAACATAGAGGAGATGATTGGAAGGCTAACTCCTCCGCCCTCACCTCCATCGCGCGTTGAATCTCCCTCCACCTCGGTTACGGAATGCAATCAAATCGGCGTGATAGCCTGTTTGAAAGACTATCTCATCACTGTCGACACTCATCGAGCCATCCGATTGTCACAACTGTGTTCCGACGATGATGAAGGCGCTGTGGGTAATGTCGTTCACACCTTACCTGCACATGGAAACGCTGTACTAGGAGTACATGCTGATCTCGCGCAACCAAACGTGTTCGAGGCTTCGTACTACACATGGGCTGCTGACGGTACGGTTATCTTCTGGAGTCAAGGGACGTTCAAGGGCTTGCTTCAAGTACAGCTTGAGCAGCTGGACGAACCTGATGCCGTCCCTAACGAGCTAAGGACAGTCCGTGCCTCCACTGATGGAGCTTTCCTCGTTGCTGGTGACAAATATGGTGTTCTACGTTTCATCGATTGCAACACTAAAACCTGCACGTTAGAGTTCAAGGCACATGCCAGCGAAATCACCAGCATTGCCATACATGAGGAGTCGGATATGACCCTCGTCGCGTGTGCCAGCCGAGATCGTACCGTTCAAGTGTTCACACGTTTAGAAGAAACCTGGGATCTACTGCAAACTCTGGACGAGCACGTAGGAGCAGTGAATGGAGTGTCTTTCTCTCGAAATGGCACGCGTCTAGTGTCGTCCTCAAGCGATCGAAGTCTGGTGGTCCGCGAACTTTTGTCTATCGAAGACGATCGTGGTACAACCCGAGCTTTTGTGATGTCACGAGCTATCATGTTAAAAGCGACGCCGGTGTCATCGGCCTGGGACATCGATCAGGACGATGCTCTTCTAGTCTCGACTATCGATCGCCAGGTACACAAATTTGACATTCGAACAGGTCAATTACTCAGCAACTTCCGTGCATGCGACACTGATGGTGGAGATGCAGTCGTTCTGTCCTCCTTGGTCCACATACCACGCAACTGGGGTGCTCCTCTAATTGCGGGTGTGTCAAGCACTGATAAATCGATACGCGTCTACGATGAAAGCGGCTCCCTGGTCGCTCGCGATTGGGGCCATACGGAGGGCGTTTCCGATATCGCGCTCGTAGAGACGCCTGAGCACGTAAGTGAAGAAACGAGCGAGAAGTCGCTAGTCACAGTTGCTGTGGATGGAACCATATTTGCATGGGCTCTGGCTTTGCAGCCTAATCGTCACGACGTATCGAAGTCTATGGATTTGCTCGCCCCAAACACGCCTTCCAACCAGGATTTACTGTCTAGCAAGCCACCATTACGACGCGTCCTCTCGCAATCTGAAATGGCCCGTTTCCAACGCTCACCTGTAGAAGAAACACCACCGCCCAGCGGTAACAAATCACCAAAGCTGCGGAAAAAGGTATCCAAATTCTCCTTGGCCCCAACGCCGAAACTCGAACCATCTCCTATGACCAGTAGTTCACGCGAAGGCCGGATAACAGCATGGCAAGGACAAGGCACAGGGCGCAAAAACAAGAACCGCTCTCCATCGCCACCTAGTCCCAGAAACCCGCAGCTTGGTAAACGTCGTGCATCAATAGATGCTAGAAACCGCACGAAGGCCCCTGTGAACGAATTTGGCAGCTTAGGAGCGTCGACAGAGAGCCTATGTAGAACGCTTCGAGCCTACAGGAAACGTCTAGCAAATACCAGCGATACTATGAGCCCGGAACTCGCAAAAGAGGTCGAGAGGGAGCTTGCCGCTACTGCCAGGGCGATTGGAGACAAGGTGAAAACCAAGGCCTTTGAGGAGACGGTCATGGTCAAGCTGCTGGATCAGTATTCAGAACGATTGGTAAACATGCTCGATGAGAAAATCGCAGCTAGCGTTGCACAACGGGTACGCGAGAGCAGCGTTGGTAACTTCTCGGATGGGGCAGATTCACCTGTTGTTGCCCAACACCCATCAAGGGGTAGAGCGGGCAGTGAAGACATAGGGAACCGTCGTACAGATGATTCTGAATCAGGTACCGAGATCCTGGTCTTAGAGACCACTGAGAAGTTGACGATGGAATGAAGGTGTTAGGGTAGGAAGGTGGGCATGGGGGCGCAACTCGGTACGACTTGGGTATCCCGGATCAATTTCTACAGGTGATGTGGCTAAACTGGCGTTCAATGCATTGCATATTCAGAGCAAACGGCGTTTATGATAAGAAAGCTCGTGGCTGAGCATGACATGGCGCATGACGGAGGGTGGCCAGTTGGCCACCTAACAATATTACGTTAGTACTGTAGCATAAGACGTAATCGTAGTCCTTAGTATCACTTTTTGCTCACTTGCTCGTGTAATCTGGTGCGACTATACACCTCGGTATTGCGCCTTTGTTGCGTATCGTGATGTGGTCGTGATGTGGTCGTGATCTTCGCCAACTCCTTACAGAAACGCAGAACCTGGGTATGATGGAAAGGTTAGCGTGGCACAACTCGGCGGACCTGGCTTATCTGGTCTACATTCTCTACCTGTTCCCCTTTTTGTCGGGAGTGCGTCATCTGAAGAACGATTTCTCCGGCGTGTACAAACGGATAGATCAAGAACGTGCAGCGTATCATAGCCCGTGATGTGACATCATACCCGACGAAGCATGAGGCAACAGGTGGTGAGTGGCGAACACTACAGTATAGCCGGATGAGGACGCTTGGTACACTCATAACATATGAAGCATCTAATTATTCTTCCATGAAACGGTTTTTAAGTCACATCGACAGTTTAACGCGCATCATGTCACCTCCTGGTACTTCTCTATCCGCCACTTCGCGCCCATCGACCCCCTTGAGACCAGCGCGTCTAAACGACTACTTAGTCCTATCGCATCCAGCCTGCACACAAAAGGCATGTGTCGTCAAACCGATGTCAATACAAGTCGAAGACGGGCCTGATGGCTCTGTACCAGGGATCCTCCACCTACCATCCACAGTATCAGCCACATCAGCATCCAAGACAGCGGCTATACTCCTTTCTGGCGCAGGAGGCGGTGTCGTAGGACCATCGGCGATCTATCTTTCTCTAGCAGATAAGCTAGCCTCGCTCAAGCAAGCCGTGCCGGCATTGCGACTCGACTATAGATATCCAGCACGCAACAAGTATTGTGTGAGAGACGTCCTAGCAGCTATGAAACAATTAGAAGAGTCTTACCAGATCGAGCGCTTTGTGCTGGTAAGTTGGTCTTTTGGTGGCGCTCCTGTGTTTACTATTGGTGGCCAAGATAAAAGAGTGGTCGGGTGTGCGACCGTCGCTAGTCAAACAGCAGAGACGGAGGGTATACGCTCACTTGCGCCGAAACCACTTCTACTCCTTCACGGTACGGGTGATCGAACGCTGTGTCCTTCGTGCTCGGAAAGACTATATAGTATGTATGGTACGGAAGGTGATAAAGAGTTAAAGCTTTTTGATCGAGATGATCATGCATTAACAAGAAATTCTCTTGAGGCGGAGCAGCTCATTGGTGGGTTTGTGCTTCGTTGTGCTGGGTTGGATCCGCGGACCGATGAAGACGGTTTGGCAGAGAAGCTGGTGGGTGATGAAGAGAAGGTTGAGTTGATGGAGAAGGGGGGCGACTTACGGCGAAACGAGAGCGTGGAATAAATACAGGCGAGATTGCGGAACGGATGGTGCCTAATTTACTCCTGAATAGGTGATTCGTATCTGGAGGTCGGCAATAAACTATTGAGGTCAAAATAGATCAGGTTTACCACACGACTGCACAGCAACAAAGCGGACCCCTTAGTAGGGACCGAAAGAATGCGAAACCAACACCGCTGGATAAGCAGCTGCGTTCTTCTGCACGCAAAGACGACTGCACCGCAATAAAAGTTGGTTTTCGTGCTTAGCCGGAACGGCGATAACCCCGGTCCCATAGCAGCGTCAGGCGTCTAGCAGGTGCACGATACCATGAGGAACATCAGGGCTCTTTGTTAGCCGGCTGGGTGATTGTACAACTCTAGTGAATCAAAATACTGACAGTGCTTTGGAAGGAGGAACAAACTATTTATTCATAAGAAGGGTGCGATCTTGCACCCTCTTTGTTGTACGTTAAGCAACCAAACGATCATGAAGTTCAACCTTGCAAATTGTCTTATCCTCCCGGCTCTTGAAGCAACCGCCGCATACATTCTGCTTGCCAATACTCTCTCAGACACCTCTTTGAAGAAATACTGGCTCACGCTCACCATTCTCCACAACAGTATCCTCATCTTACACAAATGGTTCATATACCCTTTCTTCCTCAGTCCTCTATGCAATTTACCGCAGCCCAGAGGCTTTATACCACTCTTTGGCCATGGACAATTTCTCTTAAAGAAACACCAGCCGAGCCGAGACTGGCAAGTTCGCACGATGAGAACGGTACCGAACGACGGTATTATTCTCAGACGGGGATTCCTGCATACTACCAAACTCCTTCTGACGACGCCGGCGGCGCTAGCAGATGTCCTAGTGTATAAGTGCTATGATTTCGAAAAGCCGCGCGTTGGGGCTAACTTTATCAAGAGATTCCTGGGGGAGGGATTGTTGATGAGTGAAGGAGAGGAGCATGTGTGGCAGCGGAAAAGCATCATGCCTGCATTCCGTTTCCGACATATCAAGGAGTTATATCCGGTGTTTTGGGGGAAATCAATGGAGTTCTGCGCCGTGGTAAAGAGAGACCTTGGTGTGCAACCAGATAGTGTCTTGGACGTCTGTTACTATGCCACACGGGTTACGCTGGATATCATTGGGATTGCTGGAATGGGCAGAGATTTGGGGTCTCTGTATAACAAGGACGACGAGCTGGCAAAGAACTACCAGGAGATCCTTGAGCCGACACCCGAGAAGGTACTGTACTATCTTACCAACGTTATTTTACCACCATGGCTGGTGAGAAAGCTACCGTGGAGGTTGCATGAGAGGGTAACGGTTACGACTAGGAACTTGCGGAGGATTTGTTCGGAGCTTTTGGTAGAAAGGAAGATGAAGATCAGATGCGAGAAAGCCGAGGGTCAGGAAAGTCGCGATATCTTGTCCATCATGATTCGCGGTAACGACCAGTCGGACAAGAACCTCGTGGACCAACTTCTTGCTTTTGTAGCCGCAGGGTCAGTATACCCGATCTCCGAGTCGCCCTGACACAGAGCTAACCAAGACAGTCACGAAACCACATCCTCTGCACTGACCTGGACTTCCTACCTGCTTGCCCAACACCCAGCCATTCAAGCTCGGCTCCGCTCCGAAATCCTTAAGTATATTCCCGATCCAGGCGTTCTGTCAAGCCCTGACTTCGATGTCGCCAGGCTTCTAGAAAGTATGCCGTATCTCAACTGTGTCTGCAACGAAGTTCTCCGACTCTTTCTCCCAGTACCTCTCACATCGCGCGTCGCTGTCAGGGACACGACAGTCTGCGGCCATTTCATACCCAGCGGCACCATGTTCTGGATTGTTCCGTGGGCAATTAACCGAAGTCCGAAGCTTTGGGGACCAGACGCTGAAGACTTCGTACCAGAGCGCTGGATGGATACGACGACCGGTCGCGCGACGATGAACGGTGGAGCAGAGAGCAACTACAGTTTCTTAACATTCCTGCATGGCCCGAGGGGCTGTATTGGAGAGAGGTTTGCGCGGGCCAAGATGAGGTCGCTTGTTGCGACATTCGTGGGTAACTTCGAGATGGAGCTGGCAGATCCTAACGAGGAGATTGTCGTGGGTGGCACGCTGACCAGTAAACCGAGGAACGGTATGAAGCTCAGATTGAAGGATGTGAAGTGGGGGCCATAGCACTTCGATGGTTCCGTCCTTCTATTCAATCGCAACCGCTACTGTATCATGCTATGCTCCTGAAGTGGCAGGAGTAAATCGTCGTCAAGCGATGCAGGCAGGGGTTTGAATTTTATCTTGTTCTTGTCCAAACTACTACATTGTGACCTTGTCGCGGGGATATGGAATTGTTCAACCGATGCAAGCATCTTACGAGCTGCATACTAGTGCCGGTCGCAGGCTCAATAGAGACTAACAACAACTGCACGCCTTGAGTAAGATGGTGGTTGCATGTCAACCCCCAATTCGCTATTCCAAGTTCAGGCCCCGAATCCGAACCCGAAAACTCAGAACATATTCCAAATAGATGGTGTGGAATTGCCAGATCTTTGCCCACAAGGGGTTGATGCGAAGTGGACGTTCTCAAGGGCTTCTTCGGTGCGGCTAAAAACGGTGGGAGATACTGAATCGCAAGCACTGTCTGACAGAAATTGCGGGGAGGGCGCCACCAAGTGTGTACCAAGCACTGAAAATGGGAAGTGTCCGGTGACGCGATTGTGGTCTTCGTTCTTCTCTTGACTCGCTCGCAGGCTCACACCTAGGAATACTGAATTGTCGTATGATGCACTTTCCGGTACCCGTTGCAAGTTGGCAACCGGCGGCAATGAAGGCGGAAGAGCGCAATAAGTGTGCCCAAGGAGCAACGAACCAAGGGTGGCGTAGAGATCGTTACTGAAAGTATGCGACCATTGATGCGAGCATGTGAAGACGATAGTCGTGGATTAGTTACCGTGCGGGAGGAAGAGCGGATGTGTGTTCGACGCGGCCGACTAGCTGGTGTCATCCAAACTTTGGACGTCGGATCCCAGACACAGCTAGCTGTGCCGAGATTGAAATCTGGCGATCTTCTCTTTAATCAGATCGACGTTGGCTAGAGCAAGATTCTGCGATGCATGATCAAGGTCTTATCATCTTCTTTTATGATGGCATAGGACTACTGACCAAGTTTACCGTATTTGCCGTACATTACTGTGCAACGCACACGAGTCGAAGCGAAGTGAGCGACAGCGAGGCGTTTCCAGATCGGCGCATGCGCGCTTAGATCGGCGTAAAGTTCTAGGTACCAAAATTACCGCCTTGCGTACTACCAAAGCGCTGTAAAGACGCGCGGAGGCGGCAGAAGATTCTCTACCCGATGCTGCGACACCGGGAATGAGGCAACCGCATCGCTGTGACCATCTGATAAATCTTCCAGATCAAGACACGAGTTCTTATTTGGCAATGAGTCGCATTCACAACGGGCATGTGGGTCTTTGGTGACAGACCCCACGTGCAAGGCTGATCCTGGCGAATTTACGATTGGCTGGCGTTACTACGGACGCCCAACGTCATGCATCGACTACAGATTTCATAAGGTTTGATACACTCAAGATGCAGGCCTTGAGTCAAATCAGTACTATACTTGTTCCGCCACGCGAGCAAGATGACAACGACCCAGAAATTCACTTACTGCAACGGATGAATGCGAATAGGCTTTGTTTACATTAAGTTACGGACCGAATGGTCCGACTTAATGCTCGCGTACATGTTTTCTCGATACGAGTTTCTAGGACACGACAAGAGGGTGTGAAGGTAGGATGTGGCCTAAACCGACATTTGCCACGCTAAGCAGACTCGCTAGTCTATTCGAGTAAAGAGTGACAGCCGGGCTGAAGGATTAACGGTCGTCATAAGTAGCGATTCACCTGAATGTTATCTTGTGACATCGTTCCGTGGAGCCGAAACGTCCTTCAATTCCTCGAGGTGTTCCAGACTCAAAGTAAGAAAGGTGCTGTCGCGGTCCTGTATGTCGAGTCAGTACGCCCCGCAATACTACTGACACGTCCGATTGTGTTACAGGGCCAAAAAATACCAACTAAAGCCCAAGACCCACGACAGTACGAATGATGTGCTTCCATAATGGCTGGGTAAGCATTACGTGGTCCAGCTGTACTCTTTTTCCCATGCGGGGTGTTTGTACCTGTCACGAATAAGTGACTATATGGCGACATGCAGTAATAGATCCTGTCTGCCTGCCGATCTGCTTTCCCGCGTCACGTAGGATCCTGGTTCGTGGCAATACCGGTACAGTAGACGTTGGTAGCCGCATAAGAAGTGGCCCGACCACAGCGTTGAGGAAGGCGAAGTCCTAATTAGGTATCCTAGTGAACAGGCGGCTGCATAGCATGTGGTTGGGCCCGGGGGAAGCCAGCGTCTTGATTTTGCAATTGCCGAATCCCCGATGGTATTGAATCGATGCCAGTTGGCTCCACGGTCTTCATTCAGCACGTATATTAGGAAAAGGTTGACATCAGCCCACAATAATTCTTCATGACAAGATGTAGGGGCCAGGGCCAGGGCTACAGTAATCGCGCTTATTGGCTACGGTGAAGGGTTCCGTTGGAATTTTCGAACGAGCTGTGAAGAATCACAAACTCTAGCTCAATAGACATCCAGCAGTAACCAGGGCCATGTGTGTCCACCCCAGGATCCAGCAGGCTCCTGTGGATAATCTTCCATGCCCAAGTTTGGATTGATGGCGTTCGCTAGGTCGAACCCGCACGCGATTGAAGTCGATTTCGGGTAGCCGACATAATCTGGGGTTCTCGGATTATCCGCTTTGTTGCCGCGTCGCCTTCATCTATCCTGGACCAACGTTTGGTCTTTTGAACAACAATTCCACGTCGATCCACGGTACATTGTCCTGAATCATGGCATCGAACACCCCCGAGCATCATTATCCGACGAGTTATGGAATGTCCTTGTCTGGGCAAGGGAAAGTTGCAATTCCACGATTGCAAAGACTTGAACAAAGGCAGGGTGGACAGAAAGACAGACGTCGAGTTCCACGGGCCTGTACCGGAGTAAGTCTGAATCGCGCACGGGTGTCTAACGGCAGCGATTGATAACCGGTTTTACACGCCTTGTAGTATTACCAGGCGTGTTCTTCATCCGATAGGCTGGCATGATTATGAATTGGTACGAGTTCTAACGGTGGCACATTTAGTGTCGCTCCCACAAGATCAAATGCACCGGCGAGAAGCCAAGGTGTAAGCATTGCGCGACGACGAATCGCGAGTGCGTCTATATCCTGCCTCGGAAAGACCGTCTGAAGATGTCTGTCCAGTCCCTAGTCTATTACCTTTGCATTGCTGACGACTAAAGCGTCACCGAACAATGCCACCAATTAGCAGAGTTTCTTAAGGATATAAGAGACCGTGTAAGCGCCGAAGATGGGGACCGAATTACTGACATCCTAGATGAGGTGAGTTTGGTTCAAATCGCTATCATGCAAGGAGTAACGTTGAAACACTCACACGGGTCAGATCGATGAGGACTTGTCAGAAAACAGGCTCACCCCGACTCCAACACCATCGCATCTTGACGTGGACGACAGGCGTGGCTCACAAGAAAGCGGAGAACTCAGTGGTACTGAATACTTCGAGCGTCATGAGACCGAAGCCCTGGACCTCCTGGATGAAGACTTGCATAGCAAAGACAAGGCCCGATCAACAGGATTCATTGGAAAGAGTTCAGAGGTACAATGGTTGCGTGCAGTGATCCTAGCCCAGCACGAAAGAACGGATACAGAGTGGCCTGGATCCGAGCCTCAACGCCGTCCTTCGGTTGCTCCAGGTAGCGAGCAGATAAGTTCGTTTAGCTTCTGGACTGACTGTGACGATGTGAGTGTCAACTTCTACGTGGACCCATACGAACTGCCCCAACCCGACTTCGCTGAGCATTTGATACGATGCTATATGCTCAGGGTGCACGATTCCTTCCCGATCCTGCCACGAAACTTCGAGGAACAAACTCGCGTGTATTTCACGGCTTTGCGCGCGGGGAATGCCCCACGTCTCAACCTCAAGTGGCAGGCCATCTTGAATCTTGTCTTCGCCATTGGTGCAAATTATTCGTACCTTTACAATAAGGACTGGCCGACAGGAGACGCCAATGTGTTCCAAGCCAGGGCGCGGGCGTTTGGTTTGAATGAAGCTTCTCTAACTACTCATGCTGATGTGCCGCGAATCCAAGGCTTGGGTCTTCTCGCGTTCTACTGGCTAAGTATCGGACAAGTTAGTCGGTGAGTTTCAGTCAACACCTAGATATTTTTCGAAGGACAAGTTTGCTGACTATTGTAGGGCTTGGACGCTTGTTGGGGTGGCTCTTCGTTCAGCCTTTTCCCTCGGCCTTCACGTACGGAACGAAGATCCTTCCGCAAGCGCCTCTAAACGACAGACTTTGGTACAAACGTGGTGGAGCTTATACTCTCTCGAAAGAACGCTGAGTATCATTACCGGTAGGCCTAGCATTATCGTGGATTCTTGCTGCTCAGTGCCGTTACCCGTGGCAGTGTCGGAAGAAGATCCAGCGGGGGAAATGGAGGCGGCACACAGCATGCGTACGACGAACGCATCGTCTTCAACATCTGCTATATTTTCCGGCTCTTCGAATATCGTTTCAAACGCTTCTCAAACATCGATACGACCTAGAGGAACACACGCCAACTCGGGGCTGTATTTCAGAGCCGTCGTTCAATTATCCATCATAACCCAGAACATTCTTACGTCCCTTTACTCCGCGGGTACGATGATTCGGTCGCCAACCGATATTCAACAGGATACCTCTCTCTTGAGCCAACGTCTCGATCAGTGGGCTTCACCGTTACCCCAGGAAATAAGACCAGATGAACCGTTGCGCAAAACGCTTGACGTGTCCGGCCGCGAGCGCATGTTGCTTCGGTTCCAACTCTGCAGCGCACGAATACTACTAACACGCCCATATTTGACTGCCAGGCGGCAACCGTGGAGGGATGCAAATGATGCAAGCTTTTCGAGACGCATGGCGGACAGCTGTATCGAGGCTGCAAGCACGATCATTGCTTCACTTCCAGATGAGTATAGTCCCCAGCTATATGAGCAGTGCCCTTGGTGGTGCCTTGTGCACCATATCATGCAAGCTATCTCTGTTTGTCTTCTTGGCCTTTCACATCCCATATCAACATCTTGTGAGGCAGCGAAGATGATCCATTGTGTTACGACGGCAATCCGCTGGCTGCAGATGATGAAGGGCCCGGTGGCAGAGCGTGCGCATCGCATAGCTTTGAGTTGTTTCGAGGGTTTGGCCAGACGGTACGCTGTCGACATTTCGGGTCTTTGGAACCGGAGGGAGCTTCCGGTGGTGCAACAGCCGGTATCCAATACCCCTGCAGAAGTACATCAACCGACGCACGAGTTCTTCTTGTTTTGAGCTCTCTACCTCCAAATGAGGTGGAGAAAGTCTAGTAAGAGGTAGGGCAGGCACATACATGTAATTGAAAGCGATCTTTCCCACTAGAAGTGATAGAAGTCGGGCTTGCTGCTGTCCAAGGTAGCCATGTTCCTGAACAATGAAATGTACCAGCCGCTGCAACGGGCAGTGCCCCTCACACGCGCAAGGGAGGTAGCGGGCAGCGCAGGATGTAGATATCCGACAAAAGTGTTGTCTCCATGAGCAGTGGTACCATTGGTAGTGTTGGTGAATACGATGTTTAGTGAAGTAAAGCAGGAGAAAGGCACGCACAGAACATCACGCAACGGGAGCACATACATGTATTATATCCTATGTTTACGCCCTCACGCATCTCTACAAGTGAAGCTTCGTTTCGAACGCGATCGGCATTTGGCACCGAAACGACTCGGGAGTTGGATCCGCCTTTACCCTAGCTTTGGCGACCAACAGTTGCCGCAGGAGGTATAATAAAGCCTCACAACTTGTGGCACTCCTGACCTATGCTGGATAATACTGCAGCTGACAGTGCCCGGAGTGGAATCCTGCAGCGAATATGGATTCAAAAGGCTCCAATCCTGACTCGGACGTGCATAACTATATGTCGGGTCGTGTACCCAGGCTTTGTCTGGTCTCTGTGAGCACTCTGCAGGCGGGTCCAATAGCAGAAGATGGTGATTAGCCTCTAAGCCACAGATCAGTCCATGTATTTAATCCTTCGTATTTAATATTCTGAGCATGGTAGTGGATCCAGGGTAATTGGATGCGGCCGCGGGAGTTGCTTTTGCTACAAGTGACGAGGTTAGTGTTGATGCTGCTTCTCTGTATATCTTGGCTAGCTTGACAGGGTAAGCGACAATGACTAGTGTATCTTTCCTGAACGGTGTGGAGGAAGCACGCAAAGGGATGCTGGTGCTCAACTCTTGCATGACCGCAGAGCCGAGCCTGCAATTTCTCGGTCTTTGCAACATCGCGCCTGTATGTAGGTTCTCTGAATGCGCAAGCGTCTTCTCATAGGAGCGTGCGCATACCGCGCGTAAGAATGGCGCTCATGCCGCGCTCTTGACTCGTGTTTGTAGATTGGAAAAAAGGTCTTGTGAGCTTGGACTGCGGGTAGGGCGTGCTCCGAAGAACTGCAGGATGTGTTTATGAGCAGGCGGGCCAATGAAGGTAAAGTCTCACGCTTGAATTATGTTGGTGCCTATGAAACCACAAAGCAAGACCTTGTGCAGGCTGAGAAAAGCGTGAATTGCTGCCTAGCTCCGCCTTCATCGCACTGCGGTCTTGCCATTGGTTGAAAACGCCCATGCCGGCGCTGACCCGCTGTTAGGCGGACGTGCCCGGTCATGTGATTCTAGTGCGCCAAGTCTCTAGCTCTTCTGCTGGCAGTACTTAATCTCGCGCCCCCTCGTCCTCCTTTCTCTTCTGCATCCAAGTGCTCGGGCTTTACGCTTACCAGTGAGGATTCGTCCGAGGTAGCGTTTTTGCTAGTTGAAAACTACAACTATGACCGCTCCAGTTGGCCTTAGGGTCGGCTGGGAATTTTTGACACCCATTGCTAGCTTTGCGCTGCTTTTCGTTGATTTTTGCGGCTTGCCGCTTGATTGAAGAAGAGTTTGTTGGCGCCCGAACCACCACTACCGCCTACGCATCCACTCGTCTCGACAAGGCTACCTTAGTCCTGTACGCTGAAGCCGACCTGACCGGTAATGCCGCTGTTTTTGCCAGCTTGCACGCTCTGAGACTATGCTAGGCATCAACTCCCCTGATATCCTACATTAAGTGTGCGCGCCTCTCCCTCGTCCTACCGTGCTGAAAGTTCTTGTCGCTTACGGACAGTCAGCATCCTAGCCAACACAACCCATGTCGCTAATCTGGCTGCTGCATTGTATCACCATCGTTGGCCGCTCTTCGGCAGGCATGCCGCGCTTTCACACACTCGCACCGGATACCCACGAAGGGCCATAACAACGATAAGCAGAAGGTGGGCGTGCATCAGTACTACCCTCGGACAACGCAGTGTCCGTTACCGGCATGGCATCGGCGTTGCTCTTGCTTTGCGTGTGAATTACGTGTCGCATCCACCGATACTACCACCCGACGATCCTTCAGGCGGCTCTCCACAATCCTCCCTTGAGTCATATGAAAAAGCATCTAAGCTTTTCGCAAGGAAAGTGTTTATCTATGTACCCCACAAATAGGTACTACCGGGTAGATCCATGGCCATGTGCCTGTGACCATCACGAACATCGTACATATCGAAGATCTGTAACCATTTTCGGAGGCCGCAAAACGCGGCCAAAATTGCCGTCTTCGTTTCTAGGCTTCCGTGATAGATACAACTCTCTTGGCTATGCACGACCTCTATACAGCTGCTCATAGATCGATCCCTTGCTGATTGCAAAGACCCCTTTGACAGAGTGATAGGAAAGTATCTTTCCGCCAGATCAAACCGAGGGCCAGTCATCTTCGAAACGTCAATGCCGACCCCACCACACTACGGAAGCTTACTGTTCTCGTTCTCGTTCCCTTACTTCACTCTTCACCCTGACAGCGCTTTTTTCTCCATCAGCCTTACACAGACGTTAAGGCGCTGCACCTATATCGCAATGTTACGGCTACAACTGGGACCGAGCCTTATTCGGAACTTTGCGGACGTGGGCGGCCATGGGAAGATGCGGCTACTTGCTCGCTCGAAAGTCCGGTCGCCCCAACTGTTGCATCGTTCCTGTTCAATACACTTGTCGCCTGAATCGCGAGATTTGGAAGTGACACGACCGTCCGAAGATGCAAAGAAGGTTGTGAGCCAAGAAAGTTCGTAGTCGGCCAAACTCAACCTACATCTGAGGCCGGTAAGAGCCGTATATCGCGCACAGCGTGACTCGGATGTGTGATCGAACAACCGAATATCAGCCACAGTCGTTCCCTGCCTGCCGAAGAGCAAAACAAGCTCCAAATTGCCGAAGCTAGTCGCGTGATCTTTTGGCTTTGTACGGTACCGAAAGAGGTCAACTACCCATCAATATCGTCTATTTCCGCCAAATCTACCAAGATGGTGGGGGATAGCCACAAGCTGCCTTGAAAGAAAACGCTATATGGTGGGGAGCGCGCCGATAGCCTTAGGGTCGTTTCAGACCAGTAAGAAAGACATCAAGGTTTCGGTGCACGGTCTGCGTTCGGCTAGATCTGCAGCAGGGTCATTAGCCTTGCGCCATCCTACGCGAACTGCTACACTTCCAGTACGGGACATGCAGGTACGCGGTCTCTGCTGGACCAGCCGCTTTCCTGCATGCAAGACTCGCGCGCGACAGACATTGCAATCACACGCCACAGAACAAAGTCACCACATGACATGTTCACATATGTACGACACTCTTCAGGCTTTCGAAACGGATCTGTCAAAAGCGGCATCTAGTCAATGACATGCGACATCAACAGTTCCGTAGCACCGCCTCAGCCATGCTAACCTAGAACTAAGCTAACCCGGTGGCTTCCTAACGGTGGCTGCCACGAGTTGACCCTAGGGGTATAGTTGTGACATTATACCCCCCTTCTTCGACTATTTTCGCACGTTCTCTGCCAAACCTGGTGCCTGGCCAGTTACCACAAGGCGCCATTAGGCCAGTGCCCTGCGGGATCTGCATACTGCGACTATCGTCACGTATGAGACGGTCGTTTTTGTAGGAACGTGCCCATGGTGGGGGGAGTCCACGCGATATTGGTCCTGTTCGCGCTTCCCAATGCAGCATGAACGTCGGGAACCTGCGTCTCACTCTCAAGCTGTGCGGGGGTTAATGTCGTCCGACTTTCCTTACCAATG